TCATTGCTGCCATTCCTCTGCTTCCGATCTTTCTTTCCCTTCTGAAGGACGAATTCCCTGATGTACGCTTGAACATTATCAGCAAACTTGACCAAGTGAATCAGGTCTTGTTTTGACCAGACTTACCTATTTTTTTGGCAGTTATGGGTAACTATAGTCAACTTTTAGATGATAATCTTTGTGATTTTATTTTGGCAGGTTATTGGAATCGATCTACTATCACAGTCCTTGTTACCCGCCATTGTAGAACTTGCTGAAGATAGACACTGGAGAGTACGACTTGCAATAATCGAATATATTCCGTTGTTGGCCAGTCAGTTAGGAGTTGGCTTTTTTGACGACAAACTCGGTGCTCTTTGCATGCAATGGTTACAAGACAAGGTTTCTACACTCCCTTCCCTTCTCGAGAGAGTTTATCCGAGAAAACAATTCCCCTTTTCTACCGGTAAATACTTATATGGATGTTTATGGCAGGTTCACTCGATCCGTGACGCTGCTGCAAACAATCTCAAGCGTCTGGCCGAGGAGTTTGGTCCAGAGTGGGCAATGCAACATATAGTTCCTCTGGTTTGTCCCTAAGCAATAGCATGGAACTTTGACTGCTTACATTCAAGCCTATATCAATATCAATTATGGGATCGAAAGCATAGCAGAAGTTATTCTTTCTCATACATATTGATATGATTAAGACTTTTACCTTTAAAGTATGGAAATTTCTGATGCACATGGAATCTGCAGGTCCTCGAGATGATTAACAACCCGCACTATCTATACCGGATGACCATTCTCCGAGCCATCTCTCTTCTTGCACCCGTCATGGGCTCAGAGATCACCTGCTCCAAACTCTTGCCCGTGGTCATAACTGCATCCAAAGACAGGTAGATCTTTAACTCGAAAAACGAAACATCACCTCACAACATGTTCTTAAGTCACACAATTCTTGAACATGTTCTTAAGTCACACAATTCTATCACTTTTTCGCCCAGAGTTCCAAACATCAAGTTTAACGTCGCCAAAGTACTGCAGTCACTCATTCCGATCGTCGACCAATCGGTAAGAATAGAAATGCGACCACCCTTTTTCATGTCCATATGATTGATTCTGAACATTTTTTTTTTGGGGGTGGAAAGGCGGTGGAGAAGACGGTCCGACCGTGCCTCGTGGAGCTGAGCGAGGACCCTGATGTCGATGTCAGGTTTTACGCTAACCAAGCTATCCAATCTGTTGACAATGTGATGATGTCTAGCTAGAGACCTTTCTCTTATTCTCCGGCCAATGTTTCTGTTCTCTTTGGTTGGGTTACAGTCCATCCATATATGCTTATGTTAGTGTAGTAACCTTTGTCTTGTTTTAATTTTTGCACGCATGAATCGTACGGAGCTTTGTCTCTGCTGCTAATATCTGCATCTCTGTGTTTATACGAGTTCCGTTACTTTTTTAGTCATCTTCCAATTTGTCTTATGCCGTACGTAATCTGGCCCAAACGGAGCTTTGTCTCTATCTTTTCGAATTAAGCCATAAATGGGTCTAAAGTAATCTGGCCCATATCAAAGCAGATTGAGTCCAATATTGTTTTTAACACGACATGAAAAGGGAATAAAATTAATTTTTTTAAAAATAAAAGATTTTGCTACTCTGCACATAACTAATAATATGACCCTTTAAGTTTTTAGCATTTTTTTTTATAATCCGGAAGTTCATCAGGTTTTTTGTCCAACTACATCTTCCCCAGAATCAGAGAAGATGTGAATGTCTCTTCCCACGTTTAGATTTGAACTCAAGGTAAGAGCATATCTTTGACGTATCTTTATTTATATACAAGTATTTAATTCATTATTTTCGCATAGTATTCAAAATTATAATGATTTTTTATGGCTAAACAAATATCTAACCATGTTAATCAGGGTATATTATATGAGTTCAACCTTTTCATTACGAGCACGGAAAATAATTTTTTAAAAAGACTAAATATCCTTCTTCGTTGCCATATGACTATCGCAGTGTCCAACTTGATCTACTTTTGGTCTCATCAAGAGAAGATGGAAACAAGATCAGCACGTACTTTAAGTATTTCTTCAAAGCATATATCAAATGTGTTTAATGGTAGATTAGTGATATTTAAGTTAGGCCAAGCCGAATATTCCATGCATATAATGTTTTTAATGTAATAGCTACACACCAAGATCAAACATTGAGGTGAATGTTGCTTAATTGTTTGTATTTTTGCCCATGTTTTAGATTGTATTGGTCCTTAAGTAAGCATCAAGGGCCGTTTTGGCCTTTAACACAAGGGAAAGGTCACACTAAACTCTGCTTAATTAAGCTTATCCCATTCCTAATTAATATATATATTAATCAAATCTTGTGCAATCCCTAATCGGAATCCCGGTGTTTTGGACCTATATAGACTATATATATATTACATATTTTGCGAGAGTAAAACGCTTTTAAAATTTACATGAAATGTTTTGTTTGACATTTTGTGGAAGAAATATAAAATATTCAAAATGGAACTAGTAACGGTGATATCCATATCTTATATTAAAGTATTCATTAAGATAAGAATTATAATAAAATATAGAACAGTCAATCACGCAATGTTTACATATGTGAATCTACTTGCCTTTGTCATGAAATCTACATTATAATCATAAGCAAAAGATAAGATCCATTCAGTTTTCTAATCCGACAATGATTCATTCTTTTCAAGAAAACGATCAACAGTTTCACTAGATATTTCTAACTTTTGTATTCCTGAAAGATAAGATATTCAAAGCTATATATACTTTTTAATTCTACGCTAATTTCGATTTTGGATTAATAAATTCACCGAAAGATCATCATGAAAGTGACCGTTTTAGGATTAATATAGTGATTCTAATTTCGTAATTATTTACGAATCCTACAATTATTACAAAAAAAAAGGAAATCTATAACGGTTGACACTATAAGGTTACTAGCTATCAAAACGGTAACGAATATAATTTTTCGGGGTTTGAATTTGATCGATGATATCACTCATGTATGTGTGATTTGTGTGTGATATACGATCGTAAGTTATTCAACCGTGAAGTTGCTCTTCGCCCTTTCTTGTTTGAGCAAAATATCCTATGCTTTTGTGTTCATTAGTTTAGGTGCACATTAATTAATCTAATTAAGCTTTAATTAAATTCAAATGATCCTTTATTTATATCACGTAAAATAATTAAGCGAAATCGGTCGCTTGGGGCCTAGGGACACATGCAGCTGAACCTAGACGGCCGACTACTATTTCAAGTGGGACCCACAGTTGTGTAATTAAATGGTGGTATTTAACAAAAAAAAAACTAATGAAATGAGGAATCTTTCAGACAATTCAAGATTCTTGGAGATCCGTCTATGTAACTTCAGCCACATAAACCAATAATAATAATACTAAAAGAAAAAGAAACGAAAGTGAAAAGTCTCGCAAGAGAATATACTCTACCACAAGGAGATGGCAGCTAACGTGCACGTTTGTATTAATATTCAAGCAGCATCGTGAAACCAAAAAAAAAAAAGGAAAACTATAAAGTTTATATTTAATTTTTTACATATAGATATAGCAATATATACATATATATGCTCTTCGGATTCCGGTATATTCGACTCATATATATGCTCATTCATCCTCTAAGAGTGTGTATAAAGGTCTTTTAGCTTCCGGGTCTTATTGTTTTTCTCGAAAGAAGTATAAGGTATTTTATATATATACATATAATGTATATATATCGTAGTATAACCTGTTTTGTAATGCTCAACGCTTGCATAAAGAAGGTTCAATTTTCTTGATTTCTATACTCTTTTACAAAAGAATCACCTCCTCTGAAATTTGAGAGGAAAAAAAAAGTTAAACGAACAACAAGAAGATGAAATAAAAACGTAGCAGACAATGCATTAATTTATCCAAAGTATAATGCTGTTCATTCATTGCAAAAAACCTATACATACACCCTATTAACACGCTATATATAACTTTGAGATTTTTTTTTTTAAAAAAAAGTTAACAATATTAATCAAGGAATGTACATATATCGTGTGAAAAAATAATTAGGTTTATGATTTTTTCCCATCTTTGACGTTAGGGCGCGTAGAAGACGACATCACCGGTGAACCACATCGAGCCTCTCCTTCACGACCACATGTCGATCTGTCTTGCGAAATCAACGGCCCAAAATTATTAGAGTGGCTCGGCCACTGCGGCGGCATGGCGGCGCCGTATATTCCGGCGGTGGCTGACGTGGCCACGGCGGACTTGGCCGAGGCGTAGTCTGTTTGTGGGACCCACATGCCCCCTACCACCACAAAATGAGGCGCTTGTTGGCTTCCTTTGTTAGGGACTGTTTGGCTCGGCCTTCTTGTATGTAACCTATACTTCTGAGATCATGCAAAAAAAAAACGAAGAAAATATATATTTAGGTCCAATTATTTCTCTGTGTTTTTTTTTCGGGATTTATATTATCTTCAAAGCGCATGTATTCTCTCTCTCCATATATATATATATATATATATATATATATATTATTCATAATCAAATTTGTGAGCTTGATTGGGAATTGTAATGGCTTTTTAATCACATACATACATTTCAATAAATATCAAATTCCAACCTGCAAATGGCTTTTCACTTCATCGTTTGTTAATCCGTCAACCTTCATCACCTCCCTAATCTGTTTAGGCGTAGCAACTGCAAAACCATTCGGGAAAAAACACCAAAAATTAAATTTAATTAATTAATTTTCTCAAACCCTAACGTAAAAAAAAATCAATATTCTGGAAAAAAGGGTAAGGGTTATAGAACTCAAAACGCAAAACGCAAACGCACCATGAGCACCGCCGAGCTGTTGAAGAGCGTTCAAGAAGCGTCGGTGCAAATATTGCGACCAACACCGTCTCTGCTTCCTCTTCCCTCCGCTTTCTTTCTCCGGCTCATTTTTCTGACAGCCTCCGCCGCCGCAGCCGCCGCTTCCTTCCGTTGCCGGAATTTTCCTGTTCTCGTCGCCGTTGCTCTTCACCTCATCCACCGCCTCTTTCTCTTGCGGGCGTTCCTAAAGACACAAAGCGCAAGCTTAAGATTGCTATTCAATGGCTCCAAATGGTAACCATTCACATAAAAAACATAAACCAAAACCCTACCTCTGCAGGAGTCGGAACGGGTTGGTTCCAAAGCTGAGCAGATTTGAGCCAGTCGGATTTTGTGTTATTGTCGTCGGATTTTTCGTTGGAATGGTGAGATTCGTGTTCATCACCATCATCATCATCATCACCACCATCATCATGGGATGAAGATGGTGGCCTGATGGGGATGAACTCTTCCAAGACAGGACCACCACACTCGCCGGTTGTTTGCTCCGAACACTCTGATTGGCCGTTCACGTTCTCCGTCGTCGTTCCCGATATCTCTCTTTTACATGCCTCTATCGCTGCATTTCAGATGCAAAAAAAAATTATAATTTAAAAAGAATTCAGATCTAAAAACCCATATTTTCTATAATATACCAAATCTTATAAAGTATTGGAGGTTTTCATTATCACTCCACTATATAATACATCTTGCTATATATTGCTAATATATGTCAAAACATCCAAAAGGGAAAAAGATGGCGGTGGTAATGTATAGATTACAAAAGTCATACATAAACAAACAAGTACATAATAGAAACACACATTTGATCTCATGCAACTTGGACGAACAAGAATCTCGAATCCAAAACAATAGGGACGAGAAAGACAGGGGAGGAATATGTTCATATATATAAACAACAAAGATTGTATAAAACAGATCTATATATATGAAATGCAGACACACACATAAAATACATACGTACCTTGAGTAACAAGATCTAAGCAAAGAGGAAGTTCGCGTTGGAAAACGAGGATCTTGCTACGTTCTTCTTGAAGGGCTTCGATGTACTCTCCGCATCTTTGAAGCTTTTGGGAATATTCCATGTTGTTTATGCTCTTAATCATGCTTCTTTAGGGCTTAAACCCACCTTTATATACAACGATAAGACAAGGACGTTTTTCCTATTAATTTACAAGGAGAAGGAAAGATAATATATGGCTCTATGGAGCCTGTGAAGGATCCTATGAGGGAGAGAAGCCGAAGTCGGGACGTCGCGTTACAAGACGAATCTTGCTTCTATACATATATATATATATATGCATATGTACGAAGAGAGAGAATCGATTGATTGCTCGATTAGAATATGAAGGGATATGTCTTGTACTAGTAGTAGATAGGGGGTGGTGAATATTCCATGGTGAATATTCGGCGATGTGATTCCAAATTTTATTTGTACAAGTTGGTGCAACACCGAGTAAATTGGTTAGTATATCATATTTTATATATATGGTCAAAATATCTAAGATTACGATTTTTGTGTGTGTATACATATATATATGAATGACGAATGATCTAACATCAAATTGCAGGTTGATTGGATAAGTATGAATTAACGAATATGAATTTTTTTTAACTATGTTTTGATTTAGTTTACGCATCGAGGGATAGAATATTAAACTTTATAATAAACTAGCAGACGATCGTTTCACATTAATTCAACACATATGAAACAAAAATAAAATGCAAAAGATCCAAGTGATATTTTCTATATTTTCTTTTTATGTATTTAGGATCAAATTTCCACTTTTAATTATTATTTATGAATAAATTTAAATAGGACGGGTAAGAATATGGAAACGCAACATGGGTCTGACAAAACTGAACGTGCATGCAGACAAAATGTTGAAATACATTTGTATCAAAAAAATGAAAAGCCAAACGTCTCTTCATGAAGAAGCCGAAACATGGGAGAAGAAATTAAAAAAGGCCACATAACAAAAACATATAATTAAATTAATGTATTCCGTCCGAAATTTGGCCCCTTTATCCATTCGGTTTTACATTTGAAAACTTAAAATGTCATAGAATCTTGACCTTGTTAATTTCATTATATCCATTAGAATTTTCATGTGTATATGTATATATATATGTATTGTGTCTATATCCGTACAGCTAAAAGGAAGCGTTTGACGTGTAATTATTTTCAGTATTCTTACCGAGTAAATACGAACATGATAACGTGTTGTAATGTATCGAAATTCGAAAGACTCAAAATATATAACTGAAGGGCCAAAAACCGGAAGTAAACTATTTTTTTTTAGAAAATGAATATTTTTAATAAAACTAAATTTAAGTTGAATTGGAATATAATTTTGATACAATGGTCAATGGTACAGAAATAATGATAGTTTTTTAAAAAACTAAAAATCGAATCAAACGATAAACGAAATCTAAGATATTTAAGCATGTATCTATCCGGATTTAGAAAAGGATTAAATCTTAATGTTTTTTTAATATTAAAGTATATAAAACGTGTGAACGTCTTCTGTGACTTTTAACGAGATAATCGTCGTCTCTTGCAATGGAATCCGATTATTATTGAACTAATCTGTCTAGATTAGATCGAAATTAATTCTTAATTATGAAATTTGGTTGGCATAATCATATACTAGACAATTCACCGTTGGGCTTATTTGTCCCTTCAGAGACTCCAAAAGCCGAATTTAGCGGTTAGGGTTATGACACGCGATCACAGCCACAACAAAACGACATCGTGTGATCTTCTGTCGTAAAACTTACTTCTCAGTTTTCAAGCCCAATGGGCCTGTCTATTTATGGGCTCGTATATAAGACAAATTATATTCCATGTCATTTTGAATTAATTAATAACCTGTCATTTATCTATGTTTATTTTATTTCGATTCGGCCGCCAATTTCAAGTAAACTATTTCGAGTTTAGAAACCCAAAAAAAAAAAAAGATTCCCCACCTTACATAAATTAATAAAAAAAAAAATTAAAAAATCCTTTGAGCTCTGGAAAATATAATTATAGACATGCAAAATTCACATAGTGATGCGAAACATGATTACGAGAGAATAATAATAACAATAATAATCCGATACTAATGGTAATCATAAAGAGGAAAACTATGATAGCTCATGTGTACATTATTATTCAGATGATTATATGAATAGGAATAATTAAATCAAATATTTATCACGTTGTACAAGGTGCTGAAGAGCTGTCGTAATCACTGGAAATCATAAAGAAGAAAACGTACCAAATATGCATCAAGAAAGCTAGGCAAGATATGACCTTCGTATGAATGCCACGAGTCAAAGGCCATTTGTTGACCAAATTATTCACAGCTGTGTGAGGCAGATAAAATTTGTTCTCCTTGGGTAGAATACAATTTATTTATTTTGCAAAATGTATATGCATGCAAGTGTGTATATACATACGTATATCATATTTGCATTTAACCGTATATATAGATTACTCTATTGTTTTCATGTTTAATGACAAATGATATACATGTTATGATATTAGTTGGGAAAAATAATAATAAAGGTCCCGAATTTTAAGCTATGGTGGGGAAAAAGAAAACGAAATGAAACGATTGGGGTTAGGAAAAGGAGAAATGGGTTGGCGAATTCTGAGTTACATGCACTCTAACAAGACGAAGGAAATAGAAAGAATGGGAATCACCTTTCATTTCATGGACTCATTTCACGAATCGGCATTTAAAAAATACAAAATGATAAAAACATGGCAGAGACATGAGAGAGCTACAGTTTTGTTTCTTTCGTACTCTTTTGTGCTCTTCTCCTTCGGACCCTTTCATGCCTCCGAATCTACCTACTCAAACGTCCGATCCACACAACCATCAGATATTTACGTCATAATTTGTTGACATAAATCACGTGTGCCATGGTTTATATATTTAATTTCATTTTAGGAAATGGGTCTAACCTTTTACTTGGTGAGTCTTTGTCTAACAAAAGATTACAATGTTTTTTTGTGGTAGATTAATATTTTTTTTTATAATCCGGAAGTTCATTGGGTTATTACATCTCTCAAAGGATCGGGAAAACCTATGTGAATGGGTGTTCCCAAATGAGGACTCGAATCAAGATTGGAAAGGAGTTTCTCTTCCTTACCGGTTGAGCCACACAATCTTGGATTTGTGTTAGATCAACATGAACAAGTCATTCTTGTTTTTATGTCCAAATCCTTCTTATCGCAAACCAAAAAGACCGAATTTGTGAACAAAGGGTACTTTCAGCATAATTAGAAACATCAAAACGAGTACGAGAATCCAATATTTAGATATGTAGATATCAATCGGGTTGAATACTCCGAATAAAATTGCATTACGTTAGGCGTAGAGTGTATTTGCCCAAGTCGCAAAACCAGACGTTTCGTGGTGAAAGGTATCAACAAAAGTAGTAACCCATGTATATGTGTGTGTATATATATATATATGCTTAATGCAAGCATTGTGGTATCAACGCAATATATATACTTTTATCTAACTTTTACAATATATGAAGAAAAAGGAATAATGACTTTGTTTATTAATTTGTCAGATGTTAAATTAAAGTAAAAGCTGAAATAGTTTAGGGTTCCTTTTTTTTCTTGCAAAAGAATCAGCTTCTCTCTCCAGGTCCTAGAATATATATATATATATATATATATATATATATAAGAAACCCTACTACATATAACTTTATATGTATCATGATCACTGTGAGTATCACTATCTCTGTAACTTCAGATACAATAGTAGGGAAGTGAAGCTTTCGTAATCTACAGTTAACACCACATTTCTCCATGTCTCTCTCTCTCTCTCTCTTCTCTCTCTCTCTCTCTCTCTCTATATATATATATATATAATAACTCCATTCCTTCTCTTTTTTTTTTGCTCATCAGAGACTCGATTTTTATGTTGAGTAAATGTGCGCAGAGATCAAAAGTACAATGAAATGAAAATAATAATAACAATTTACCATTAATTCGTTATTATTAATATCATCATCATTATTATTGTTATTGGAATATGAGAAAGTAGGCTCGGGAAACGAGCAATGTGTTTTTGAGATCCTAGAAGCGGGAGTTAATTTCAGTGACATATGGTACGACTCTTAAACTTCTTCGAGATATGTCTCTCTATCTTGTAACCTCTACTAAAAAAAATCTAGTTGGTTCCATATGCTCTTTTATAATATCAAGAGGGTTTGAAATGACATACGTCAATGTCTTAGATATATATATATATATATATATAAGCTCGATTGTATCTAAAAAATACATGACGTCAAACCAGTAAAAATTTATGATTCTCGAGAGAAAAACAAAAAAGTTATTATACAATCTTTAACAACAAAAAAAACAAAAAAGTTATCAATTCTGAAACTACGTATCGTACTTAATATTAGAAATTTTGGGGGGAAATATGACAAAAATTATAAGGATATGTTATTGCGTATAATTAAGATCATTATGGGTAATTCTGATCTTAATTGCTCCCAAAAAGTCTACAATCATCCTAACTTTGTAAAGGAATTCTTAGATATTTCGAACCAAGCATGGTTGTGACATGTAAATTTATGAGGAAAAAAGCAAAACAAAGGACGAAAAAGGATCGTTTATCAATTTACCTATTCGTCCAGCCTCCATTGTCTTCTCCACCATATCCCCCCAAAAAGCTTAAGCTTCTCTCTCTCTGGCTCTTTCTCTCTCTTTCTCAATGCAAAATCACTCCGATGATGAATCGGTCGTGCTCCGCCTTGGGCCTCCGGGCCAAAACCATAAACCCACCACCAAAAAACCTTCTCCAACCACAAACCCTAATAATATCTCCGACGACGCCAACGGCGTCACCGTCGCTCTCCACATTGGTCCTCCGTCCGCGGCCGAGAAGGGATCCTCCGGAGGAAGCGACGTAGATGGTTTCACGGCGACGGTTCTGCCACGTGGACAGTATTGGATCCCTTCCCTTGCCCAGATCCTTGTCGGGCCAACTCAGTTCTCTTGCTCCGTTTGTAGCAAAACTTTCAACCGATTCAACAACATGCAGGTCTCGCAAACACATCACTCGAAAACATTTGTTCCTACTTCGTAGTCATAAGATCGTTAATTTAACTTCTTTTAGTGTCCCATCATCTTTTAGGCATGAAATATATAATATTATAACCATATATATATATATATATAAAGTTACAATCTTTCAAGTTAAATCCTCAGCATCATTAGCAAGATCATGGCTCTCTCACCGTATATCATATCTATATATTATCTAATTTATGTACACATATTACACCCGGCCGTTGCTAAAGAGAGGGGAAACCTAAGTTGTCAGCGACTCAGTTCATGATCAACCTATGGAACATAGAGTACTGTACAATTATTGATCGTATATAGGAGCTTACAATTATGAGATGGGCATAGAGAGAGACAATTAAATTACAGTGATATACTCTACTCTAAGTCGAGACATCCGACAACAATTTATGTTTCATTGACCGGTATCAAATCCAAAACTACCTATAAAACAATTGTTATACATAATATGGCATATTCTAAATATTTTTTTTTTGTTTGTTATTTCCTCTGCAGATGCATATGTGGGGTCACGGTTCACAATACCGGAAAGGTCCAGAATCGCTGAGAGGGACAAAGTCGTCGTCTTCGATACTGAGACTACCGTGCTATTGTTGCGCAGAAGGTTGCAAGAACAACATAGAGCATCCGAGATCGAAGCCACTCAAGGACTTTCGGACGCTGCAGACTCATTACAAGCGAAAGCATGGAGCAAAGCCCTTCGGTTGCCGCAAGTGCGGGAAGGCATTCGCGGTCAGAGGAGACTGGAGGACGCACGAGAAAAATTGCGGAAAGCTTTGGTTTTGCGTGTGCGGATCCGATTTTAAGCACAAGAGGTCTCTTAAAGATCATGTCAAGGCCTTTGGCGATGGCCATGCACCTCATACTATTGGTGATCGCGTGGTGGCGATTGGAGGTGGAGAAGATGATTATGACGATGACGACGGTGATGGTGATGAAGAAGATGATGATTGTGGTGATGAAGATGATGACCGTGGAGAGAATTATGAATGTTTTCGTCGTTATGGTCAATTTTCTCGTAATTAATTACGGTCTTTAATTTGTTTGATATAGGCTTTCTAGGTTTGATCTATCCGCCTCGTTGTCACTTTGGTTAAATCGGGCGTATTATAAGCTTTGGGACTTTGGTTTATATATTATATATATTATTTATGACGAATGTAAATAAACCGCGAAACGGGTTGTCTGAGCTCCTTAATTAACAACAAATATATAGTACTCTTAGTTTTTGCTTGCACTCTTAATATTATACTATTACATAGTGTAACTTTACATAATGATTTTTTTACATATAAATATCCATAATGAAAATAATATATTGTTACTCATGATTTTCAGTTAAAAAAAGAAAAGGAAAGGGCACTTCAAGCTTCAAAGTGTAGAGACCACAAAGCGTGATAATAGAAGATAATAATAATAATAAAATATTAATGAAAAAGGAGATGAATGTGTTGGTGATTAAATGTCGGAAAGTGGCAGTTCGATTTATCCGAAACCGGAAACTGTCTGCTTCACTTTATCTCGTGATGTGTAATGTTACACATAAAAGTCCATGTTACACTTGGAGAGAGAAATTTTACGAAGCTAAGGTTACTTCAGTTATCTGACGAACTTCGGTCTATATTTTTCTGTTTCGTAAAAAAATAAATAATAATATTCGGTATTTCCCCATATTATTTAATTATTTCTGTTGTAATAATAGTACATACATAATTCAATCTTATTATATATATGTATATTTTAGTGAATAAAGCGTTGGATGTGAATCAAAATTGGTCGGAAAAGGGAGGTACGTACGAAGTATTAAATGTCGTATTGGAAATTGTAAACTGATAAACTGAAGGAGAGCGACCAGCAAGTAGTTTGAATTTACATATAAAAAAAAAAAGTTTTTGACCAAAAGCTATTCATATCGATTCATAAATAAATCAATAAAGATTTGATTATAATTAAAAAGATATTTAACAAAAATACTGTCATAGATGACAGTTCGATTCGTAGCACATGCACCTTCAAGGATACAAAAATAAATGCTCGTAGAATCTTAGATACGATATGTATTTAAATATTATGTAATTATATTTTAATATATAAGAAACCGAATTAATATAATTTTTAATTTTATATGAGTGAAATATAAAAATAAAAAATAGAAAATTATTTAAAAAACAATATTTTTTTATAAATCTGAATAAAATGTTATACTTTAATCCCCGGAAAAATCAGAAATTGAGAATAATTGAAACTAAACCCGAAATTGTTATCCCTAATCCAAAAAAATCAACAAGTACTAGACCGAACCCTTGATTAGTTCCATATATATATATATATCGATTATCAATTCGGTTCGGTCGGCTTATATCTTCTACCACTCCTCGAACAACAAGAGATTGAGATGTGTTGTTAGATCGATCATATGCAGAAACAAAAGAGAGGGACAAAGGCAAATGACGCTTAACATCAAGATTTGGAAAACCCATTACATGATGGTTTAATAGTTGAGAGGTGATACGGTCATTTCGATGTCTTGAATTTGATTTCACTAATAGAAAAGAATTGACGGAGTTAATTGTGTGATTAAAGTCTGATTTTGAGTTCAGTGGATTAAATGGAACGGAAATTCTGTGAGCTTTTTCTGGTTAAAAAAACAAAACAAAAATTAAAAATGATCAACTTGTTTTCTGTTATATGGTAAAGATGAAATAAATGTGGAAGAATTGATGAAATTACAAGATGCTCTGATTAGTAGAAAATTTAGAATTGGTTCTATGAAAACGTGATCTAAGGCCATCCAGAATCTTTAGGGTTGGCACCAAAATTCAAATAGAAGAATCCAATCACTTCAGAATCTATATATATATATATATATATATGGAAAGAATTTGAGATGATTCTATTCACTGTCCAAAGTGGATTTATGACCTGAATGTCACTTACACAGGCATTAATCGGTTCCATTGCATGGTTAGTGTATTTAATTATTCACCTAATGACGAGGGGGGGAATGCAACCAGTCAAGTCAAATCGGAATAGAGTTATTTTTTCTGAAGAATCTATGTATGAACAAAATCAAAAATATTATTTGAATAACCAATAAAGAACATTTATTTGATTCCGAGAAAATCTCAATCACATAAATATTATACAACTCCTCAAGAAACCCATACAAGAAACTAGGAATTAAAACACGCGAGAGAAACAGACAAGATTTATTTGGTTTCTAATTTAATCAGTGAAGTTACGGATGCTTCCGCTGGGCTCCGCCGCCAGAGCCTCGGGCGACGGCTTCACGTCCGGCGAGGGCTCGACCGGTTTTCCGGTGAGCTCAGCCGGCAAATCTTTGATGCCCTTCAAATAAAAAGTGTAGAAAAGCTTGGTCGGATACACCAGTTGGCGAAGCTTGACCTGTCCGTACGCTCCCTCGAAGATGCCGGATCCGCCAGTGATGGCCAAGTGCGTGTCCTCGTACGTCAGGTACGGTCCCTGTACGGACAAGTGGCCGTAGTCGCCGAAGTAAAAGCTGTAGGTGGCTTCAAATCGGTCGCCGTTCTTTTCGGGCACGTGCTGGATTAGGACGCAGAGACCGGCGGTGATTCCCACGCGCTTGGTGAGATCGCCGGAGTAGAGCTTGTTGGTGAAGGGGATCAGATCGCCGAGGCAGAGCTCCTGTTTCTTCCCGAGTTTCAGGACCGCCGGGCTGTTTCGGTCTCCCTCGTTGAGCTCGTACACATGGAGTTCTTGAACTTTAGCTGAATTTTTCAGGAAAAAAAACTCAAATTACACAGATTAATGAAGAGGGTTTTTTGCATTTTAGCTCAAAATTTACGGATAAGATTCTCAAAGTATCGATTATACAAATTTAGGAAGTGGGCATTTGCTGATCGATGAAAAGGAGTTTCCTTTTGTAACTCAAAGTCGCCGTTTTTTCCTCAAATCAGAGCTCCAAAAGAGGTAAAATATGATTAAATTTGCGATCTTTGTGGCTAAATCTATGATATTTCCTCAATAGTTAACTTACGTGGCGTGGATTCATCGCTACTGAAGGCTCTGATGGAAGTCGAGTTCCTGGAAATGGATCTTGATCGAGCGGAGAAATACGGACCGTTGGATGAGATCCCGATGCTCTGTAAGGATCTGGAGAAACCCATAACAGATCTTTGATTGGATTGATGAAAGGGAAGCAGATTTCTGGGATTTGTCAATGAGATCGATTCGATGGGAACCGCAGTAGCAGAAGAAGCCATGGTCAAAGACTTGCCTGTTGACGAGAAAGGAAGAAAGAAAAAAGATAAAACAATTTATGCTGTGTTTGTTGGTAAACATGTCTGTGTGCGCGTGCCGATATATAGTGGGTTTTCTGTTGAATTATTGGTCTAATGGGTGTGTTCCACGTGCGTAATTAAATTGGGTTCATATTAGTGGAACCTCGATTCGGCCGGCCTCGATGGTGGTCGGCATGTCCGGTTTGAATTTTGTGGTCGGTCCATGAGCTCGTTTACAAAAAACGTGCGAAGCCGAATACGATCATGGGCCCATGATATCCATTTCAACTTAGGCCCATTATTTACAAGAGCTACGAAATGTTATATCTAAGGCCCATTAGTTACAAGGTATATATAACCTTATGTCTAAGGCCCATGATATATCCTTTCAGCCTAGGCCCATTATTAACAAAGATCTACGTAATGTTATGTTTAAGGCCCATTAGTTACAAGCTATATGTAACGTTATGTCTAAGGCCCATGATATGTCCCTTTCAGCCTAGACCCATTATTAACAAGATCTACGTAATGTTATGTCTAAGGCCCATTATATGTAATGTTATTTCTTAAGGCCCATTAGACTCAGATGTATATGTCAGGTTATGTTAAAGCCCAATATGTCCAAGGCCCATTAATTACAAGGTATATGTACGTTACGTCTAAGGCCCATCAGACAAATATATATGTCAGGTTATGTTAAGGCCCAATCTTATGTTCCAGGCCCATTAAATGTGTGTAGAGGGGGTGAATAGTGAATACATGTATAAAAAAGAATAAAAGTATATAAAAAAGGAGTATTAGTATTTAGTAGTAGTAATGCTCATTTTCGTATATATAAATCTATCGTCTTTATTTCGAATATTTTCTATTAATACAGATTTGCAATGGATTAGAAGTTTATGGTCCATTTATTCAATTAGTTGTTTGAAAGGTTAGGCGATATATTCGCATGAGCATTTATGTTGAGTCAGGTGACTAACTGCAATAAAGATTAAGTCTCGATTATTCAAACCAATTCGTATAAGATTAATACTAACTTTTATTATTACTATTTTGGAAAACAAATCTTTCTATATTCGCCATATATATATATTAGGAAATGAACTCTAACACCAACCATACCATAAGAAGAGTGGGAGGAGAATAAATATGCTAACCTCTGCAAGTGAGACATAGGGACATGGTTCCAAATATGATTCTCTTATGTTTGTCTATGTATATCTTAGTTTGTGTGTGTTTCTTAAATCCAAATATGATTATATAACAATAATATGTTGATGATGATGATGATGATGGTGATCTAATATGATTATTGAAATTACGGTCAGATCTAGGCGACGAGATTTGGTATTCTAAAAATCCCTATATTTAGTCTTAATTTTTTGAACTATATAATAAAAATTTAATGAAAATTAATATTAATTTTATATGTATTTTTCAATGAAACTAAACTAATGCTATTAATTATTTTTTGTTATTGTAATATTACTATTATAGATAATAATTTTTTCTAGACGCGATAATAATTTGTAGTATCTCTTGTTAGAATTAATAATATTAATGTGTTCCCTCGCACCTAACAACTTGGTTAGTAAACGTTCATTCCATGAATAAACCTATACGTGCAATGTGTTAAAAATATATTATATGATTGATCTATTATTTTGTGTGTGCATTTGTTCGAAAAAATATGTATCATATAAACTCCATATGATTATTCTGTAGATTTTCGTCGACTGCAATGATCTTCTTTCTGTTATTTTCAAAGAATGTGATATTATTGCCAATATGGTTACCATATTTTGATTCACTATACAATAGGAACATATTAATAATAAAATATCACATAGAATCTTAATATTATCTGATGCCTAATAATAATTCCCCATAATTGAAGATTTAAACCGATTTTATACATTTCTAGCCGGATTGTAATGGAAAATGAAATCAAATACACAAAATCTTATAATTAGATAAGTTAAACCGATATCGTTTACCATTTTTTTACATAATATATAGATGAAAGCCAAATTGAATTGTTGAAGAATTGAGATACCAAAGCCCAGCAAAAATATATTCCTTCCATATATATATTTCAGATGATCATATGAATCTTATATATTTTGTTCGGTCCTTAGATTCAATCCCTCCCACCATACTAAAATCCGATTCCCTTATTATCCGGATTGGATGCCGTCCATTTCATGATATATATGCATATATGTAGCTGTATAACCGGTACAAATGTTATGTACTTTTTACACTGCATACACATGTATATATACATATATATAGACTTGTGTATAAGGAAACCTGTTACTTGTTAGGGGTGAACACGATGAGAAGCTGCAATCCATTCATTGAGAGAAAATTAACTTTGATTTCACCGTTTCATGTTATTGAACATTCGTTCCCCCTATTTTTTTTTTCTCCTTTTTTTGTTGTCCTAACAATAAAATTTACAACTTAAGCAACTCCTGAACCTCGACAAGAACAAGAACAAGAACTGATGATGCAAGAGAAGAAAAAAAAAACATAAAACGAAAACTTGTAAAAAAAAAAAAGAAAAAAAGAAAAGAGAATTGTTAGGAGGCAACGAAGACGCGTTGTTTCTTACAGCACCCCAGCGAAAGCATCGTCTCTTCCACTTCCCTCGCTCTCTTCTGACCACCACTTCTCGCTACGACGTCGTTTGAGCAGTCAACGGTCGACGAAATGTTGACTCCGAATAGCTTCACGACCCGACCCGGTTCGCTATCCGGGTCGGATCTCGCCTTCCAACCTATGTACAGCTGTTGATCCTGACCATTGGATCTGCTGAAACTGACCACGTCACCGGCCTTCAGATTCTTCTCCTTCACGAACCGGCTCCATCCTTTGGTCAGCACGTAGCTTTGACTACTGTTCCAGTACGAGTAACGGAACCTCCACACCTTCCCCGTTACGTCCTCGAAATTCAACAGCACCCCCTTCACGGAGACGTTACCTGACGGTAACGGAAAATGCTTCTCCGCGTGGTGCTTCGGTATCACCAAACGGTTCAGCTTCCCTACGTCGCTAGGCGTCACCGCTTTCTCGAACAGTGCCTCCGCCGATCTGAACTCCGTCCCCGAAACGCCGTCGTTTCCGTCACCAGTTCCCGGGCTTTTCCCGTTTCCGTTACGGTCGTCGTTGCCGTTACTGTTACCGTAACGGGATCTTGATCGGCGTTTGCTTTGCTCGAGCTCCTCGTTGTACGTGTGCTTACGTAGCATATCGACGATCTCTGACTTGGAGTGCGCGTTCAGGAACGCGACCTCGTCGTCGTCCAAACGCGCGTTCTTGAAATTCGTGACCGCGTCGCGGCCGCGGAATCGTTGTGCGGCCACGTCATACGCACGCGCCGCCTCGTCTTCCTCGTTGAAGGTGCCGAGCCACACGCGCTGATGTTTCTCGTAAATCTGAGCGCCCCACCTGCCGTTTGGCTGCGGCACCACGCCTTTGTACTTGGACGACGGCAACTTCCGAGACTCGAACTCCACGCCGTTTTCCGAATCCAAAACGACACTCGATCCGCTTCCCATCCGGTAAAGCTTCTCCGGCGATTTTCTCGCCGGCGGTCGTGTCTCCGGCGTCGTCATCGGCGGAGTGTTAACGGTTTCTGCACTTGTTGTGCTCTCATCTACGCTACTCACATCCATGTCTTTAAAGCTGTATTTTTTTCCTTGGGATCTTGATTTTTTTCTGTTCTGGGTTGATTTGAAAGAACAAGCACAAGAAAAATATGATGAGAATCGAGAGACGGGTGTATGTATATATGTATGTATACGTGTCTCTATCTGTTTTCGAGTGTGTGAAGTATGCGTGAATATATATAGGGACAGGAAAATAAGATATAGCAAGTGCATGTATGATACTGTTATTTTACTCTTTTTTGTTTTTTCATTTTTTTTCTTCGGAAAAAAGGAAATATTTCTTTATCCGTCGTGGGTTTAAGGCGGTAATTATAATATATGGGCAGGTGTATGGGAAATATGGGTATACCGTACGTTGTGTGGGTCAACTCAAAACCAGGAAGATTCAAGGAAGTATTTTTTTTTTATTAAAATACCAAAATAATTAAATTGACACATTATTAGCATGGAGATTTTTCTAATAATGATGTATATATTTTGCCTCTTAAAAATATTATTAGATTTTCAGTATCAGCCACGCCATAAATTATGGTAACTTTGGAATGATAGAGTTAGAGAATATGAATAACATGATTTTACAATGAATAAATAAATCCAGATTCCTGGGAAAAAAATTTTACTAGACCAGAAGAATCCTAAAAATAAAAATATTTTGATTAAATCAAGGTTATATATTATTCTTTACAAAAAAAAGGGTTATATATTATTGGACAAAAATAAGAAGAAGAAGAAAAAATAACATAGGTGGATGGATGAATGTGTTGTGGGCTGTGGATGGGGAAGTGGGGCCCATAGTGGGCCTGATTGGATAAGGGGGTTCACATGAGAAATGGACATTATTTCAGTGAAGTTCATCCCCCCTGAACTTTGATGCTATTGGTCATTAACACACCGTATTATAAACTTAACTATACATCCGTTACAATAATAATAACAACCACTGATGAGATTTGATTTTGATGGGAAATAATCTTATTTTTTTTCAAGTTAATACCAGAACATTATGGATGTTTTTATATAAATGCATGAATATTAATTAATTTGGCTGATCTCCATTTGCCGTGTTTTAACGACCGATCAGTTTGACGGACGAATCTAACGTTAGGAATAATTTAGCTTTTTTGGAAAATATTACATAAATAAAATCATATACATGTACATGTACATACATAGAGAGAGAGATGATGTGGATGGTTACGATCTTATCTGATATTTGTTGCTTTTTCTCATAAAAAAATCTACCCTAACCATAGTTGGGTTTTATTAAAAGGACCAATTAGAGACCAGCAAAATATTGGGAGGGTGGAAAGAGATTAGGTCTTACATCTTCATTTGGAAATTTTATTCATTCATTTATTTAATAATTTCTCTTTCCTACGGTTCAATCTTGTATTATTATTATTATTATTTCCCACTAGGATGGGAGATGGGCCAATGACAAGCAAGTAAGAGGCATGGTTGTACGTGTTCTGTGTGTATGGATTGTAAGATGGGCATTCATGACAAGAGGATAAATCATTTTTTTTTAAATTTTCGTTTAGAATCTCATATATTTAATTTTAATAAAAATATTTTAAAATATTTTTAGGTTCGTTGCTTTCATTGCTCGAGTTTTTTTTAGGTTAAGAAAGATTCTCGTGGACTACCACGTGGACTCTTCCTCAATCCTCACTCATCTTTCACAATTTGTCTACGACAGGTTCGACTCACCAATGTCGGTTCAAAATATATTGAGATGTATAATGAAGCAATAAATATGAGTATGAAAATAATTTTAAATCGAATTCCACCATTTTATCAGACATTTATATAATAAATATATCTTGGGTTCGAATATAACAGAACCGAATTGATACATTTTCTTTAGATATTTAACTATTTTTGCAAACTTTTAGTTATTTTGACATTTTCTATTTTTTTCTTGTTTTGATTTTTTTTTAATTCCGCATCTTCCTTTTTTTCATCATTTACTTGCATAGTTATTTTCTCGTGTTTTCACTATTATTTTTCTCGATTCAATTCGAATAATATAACATATGAAATACCAAATTCATAATGTCCATCAAATCAATCCGCATCTAATTATTATCCGACCTTGGAATATGTATGGTCTATGGAAAGTATAATAAACCCAACAGTGTAAAGATATAAAATATAATATATGATGATAATTTGATAATATGAACCAACCAACCAAACATAAACATAGATTTTTGGTACGGAAGAATTCCTATTTGGTCCCAATTTGGACCCCACAACCATCAACTTGATTAAAACCAAGCGCCCAAGCCGGTGGGTAGGTTGTTTCTTTGAGCAATTTGATGATTAACTCTTTGTATTTATTCCTCTCTCTCTCTCTTTTTTTTTTCAAATTTTTCTATGGATTTTCAATTGTAATTATTTCTATTATGTTTTTATTCGATTTCCTGCGTGGGTCCAACAAAAGATTCCCTTTCGTATATACATATATTTATATTAAATTGGGTGATATAACACCAAATGGCAAAATGAGAGTCGTGTCTAGCATAGGCCCTGTCTGAATAGAAAAACATGTTTTTTTAATTGATTTATGTTTTCATGATGTGTTTTTCTATTATATATATATTTTATATATATATATTCTCAAGAAATTATAGATTAGATTTAGACCACTACAATTTCAATTGAGTACAACTCTTTTTTTTTCCTCCCAACTAATTGATGGTTTCGACGAGAATATCAACTCTTTATTCACGTTAAAAAATTGATGATTTTTACGGTTTCTACATAAATTACAATAAAAAACACATTTCAACTTCGAATTCTATTTTTATAAAAAAAATATAGGTTTTAAAAAAAGAAAACATTTATAATATTTTTATTTATACATAATTTTATAAAATTTAAGAAAAAATATTTCCAAAATTTAAGATAACGGTTACATAATATATACACGTATATCTTATATCTGAAATAGCATATAAAAATATTCAATGAAACAAATTACAACGGGTACTGATTTTTTTTTAATAATTATAATAAACGTCACAATTAGACGGGTTATGCTTATAGAATCTCACCTCACCCGTACACGATTTTATCGCTTATTGTATACAATATATTATTAAATAAAATCTAAATTGATTTGAAAAGGGGTGAAGAGGATCTTTTAGGATTTGATTACGTCATCAGCTTTCCCCATTAGGGTTGGGCGTCGATGGGTTTCTGACTGATTGATTTACTCAATCACACTACGAGAATATTAAAACGTAATTAGTGTTAGAGCACGCATTTTAGTTTGTTAATTACAAAAGAATCAATTTTATTACAACGAAAGTAAAGTTCAATATGGTACTAACTGCTTATCCATTCGTCATCATCATCATAACCATCATCTCCATTTATCCCACGACTGAAATATATATATATATTATTCATGACGAATTATATTACTTTTTATAAGATTGAATTATAAATATTATCATAAAAGTACATTGATTTCATCCGTTCAAAGGGCCTATAAGTGGAGAGCAAAACAAATTCGTCTACCCTTTTCCTTTGCTTATATTAATTTATGTTATCTATTTTACCCGTTTTTATCCACGTTTTTGATAATTTCAAACATATTACATTTATTTATTTATGGATTATTTCTATTACATTTCAGGGTTATGCTATAATACATTGATTTTTAACTTGCTCCTTTAGAAATATGAATTTACCGTCTTATTTTATTATAACATTCAAGCTATATTTTTTTTGTCTTTTTTTAACGAAGCCCGATTCTATTTTCTCATTGTTATGGAACTTTCCCCTACCGATATATAATCATATGGCAAAAATCAATAAAACAAAATAGCAAAGAGATGGATTCATAAATATATATTTCAAGCAACTGTCATATGTGTATTAAAAAAATAAATAAATCAAATGTCCATTCCTATATACGTTATATATATATAAGATGTTATACGCCCAGCATAACATAACAAATAATCAACAAATTCAGCAAATTTTTTTATTAGGTCTTGTGGTTATCGGATATTGATTAACGTTGAATAATTATCATGATAAACGGGTTTTCACATCATAATTAATTTGATCTACAGAAGGGCCAATTAAGTATGTTACTTTTGGTTTGTGATGTGGGTAAGAAACTTATTTAATTACTTCCACTTTTAAATTGGCGAATAGAAACGTGATTTTTCAACCTAAAATTCCAAAAGCGAAGCAATGTTTATTTCGTTATGTCATCCAATGTGACGAAAAAGCGAAAGCCTGTGTTTATCCGCATGGTTACTTTTTTATTAATTTATGGGCCTAGAGATCATCTTTAATGTAATCGGAATCATTACAATAATCATATTATTTGCGATAAATAATAATGACAATTGTTGGTGCGTTACTTGGAACTCTTTCGGTTGGAGATTGATTAGATATAATAATAGCTTTAGAATGACTTAAGATGGCTGCGCATTGTCATACCGCATCGACCGACGCAGTGCCACGTAATGTGATAAAATTATATATTCATCATATGTGAACCAAAACATTCAAGCTATACCTTATTTATTTAATCATGCCATGAATACATAATTTGTTATTTTATTAGAATGTTTCATTGTTCGGATTCTTTTTTTGTTTTCTGCAACGCGGAAGTTTATGAAAAAATAATGGATAAAATGCTTTTAAGTGATAGGTTAATATAGCTATTATATACGAACAAAAGAAAATAAAAAAAAAAATTAATGGCAAAACATTATTTAGAAATTCTCGACATATTTGCTCTCCACCGGATTTGAGATGATGAATTAGAATATTATATACTTGAATACGGATTTTTATATAAAGAGTATAATATAATGTAGAGTGAAACGTGGTTTATTCAATATCATATTATATGAAAATTTGAGATAAGCTCGTGGTCGTCTACTTATGTTCTTTATCCTATTGGGTCGATCTCATCAGCTCATGTAATTATTATATATATGGATTTTCGTCGTCCGTTTATGTGTAGTGACCTTTGAGATAACTGATAAGTTTGTGATGATTTCATTTTATTCCCTTTTTGTAATGAGATATGATAAATTAATCATAAGAATTTAGTCGGAGCAATTAATACATCAAATGCATATGCATGTCCATTAATGTTAAGATAATCATTTCGGATAATATAAAAT